TGCGGGCCTGCCACGGGGGCCTTGGGTGGAGCACCCTATGGGGCCGCGGAACGTGCGAGAGGTGCGCGGAGATGGGAGGTGGAACTGCATGCGGACCCTGCCACTGGGGCCTTCGGCGGAGCACCCTATAGGGCCACGAAACGTGTGGTGAGGGGTGCGAAGAAATGGGGATGGAACTGCCTGCGGACCATGCCACTGGGGCCTTCCGCGGAGCACCCTATGGGGCCACGAAACGTGTGAGAGGTGCGCGGCGGAACACCCAATGGGGCCACGAAACGTGTGAGGGGTGCGCCGAAATGGAAGTGGAACTGCATGCGGACCCTGCCCCTGGGGCCTTCGGTGGAGCACCCTATGGGACCACGAAACGTGTGAGGGGTGCGCCGAAATGGAGGTGGAACTGCATGCGGACCCTGCCGCTGGGGCCTTCGGTGGAGCTCCCTATGGGGCCACGAAACGTGTGATGGGGTGCGCCGAAATGGAGGTGGAACTGCATGCGGACCCTGCCACTGGGGCCTTCGGTGGAGCACCCTATGGGACCACGAAACGTGTGAGGGGTGCGCCGAAATGGAGGTGGAACTGCATGCGGACCCTGCCACTGGGGCCTTCGGCGGAGCACCCTATGGGGCCACGAAACGTGTGAGGGGTGCGCCGAAATGGAGGTGGAACTGCATGCGGACCCTGCCACTGGGGCCTTCGGTGGAGCACCCTATGAGACCACGAAACGTGTGAGGGGTGCGCCGAAATGGAGGTGGAACTGCATGCGGACCCTGCCGCTGGGGCCTTGCACCCTATGGGGCCACGAAACGTGTGAGGGGTGCGCCGAAATGGAGGTGGAACTGCATGCGGACCCTGCCACTGGGGCCTTCGGTGGAGCTCCCTATGGGGCCACGAAACGTGTGAGGGGTGCGCCGAAATGGAGGTGGAACTGCATGCGGACCCTGCCACTGGGGCCTTCGGTGGAGCTCCCTATGGGGCCACGAAACGTGTGAGGGGTGCGCCGAAATGGAGGTGGAACTGCATGCGGACCCTGCCACTGGGGCCTTCGGTGGAGCACCCTATGGGGCCACGAAACGTGTGAGGGGTGCGCCGAAATGGAGGTGGAACTGCATGCGGACCCTGCCACTGGGGCCTTCGGTGGAGCACCCTATGGGGCCACGAAACGTGTGAGGGGTGCGCCGAAATGGAGGTGGATGCGGACTGCATGCGGACCCTGGGGCCACTATGCGGACCCTGCCATTCGGTGGAGCACCTTATAGGACCACGAAACGTGTGAGGGGTGCGCCGAAATGGAGGTGGAACTGCATGCGGACCCTGCCGCTGGAGCCTTCGGTGGAGCTCCCTATGGAGCCACGAAGCGCTGAAATGGGTGGGTGAAACGCAGGGAGGAGGGAGGAGAGGGAGGAGGAGGGAGGAGGAGGGGGAGGAGGAGAGGAGGAGGACGCGGGGCACCGTCTCTTCAAAACGAGGACCCAACACCACAGGATGGTTGGGAAAAAAACAATGAATTGGGCCTCCTGGTGGCCTCTTGGGACGCCTCTTGGGGGCCTCTTGGGGCTTCTTGGGGGGCTCTTGGGGCATCCTGGGAGCGTCTTGGGGCGAAAGGCTAGACTTTTCGGTTCGTGGTCCCCCTCTTGGGGCCGTCTTGGGGCCTCTTGGGCCGTCTTGGGCGCCTCTGGGGCCGTCTTGGGGCCCTTTGGGGCAGTTTTGGGGGCCTCTTGGGAGCTTCTTGGGCCGTCTTGGGGCGGTCTTGGGGGCCTCTTGGGCCGTCGTCAACGCTGTGAAAGCCGACAAGCCGTATATGTTAAAAATGCACGTTGTCCAAAGGGAAATCCATGATTTTGGCCTTCTGGGGCCCTCTTGGGACGCCTCTTGGGCGCCTCGAGGGGCGTCTTGGAGGCCTCGTGGGACGTCTTGGGGCTGTCTTGGGCGGTCTTGGGCTCTTCTGGGACGGAACAGGGGAGAACCCGAAAAACATACAAAAACCAAAGGGAAAACCCGAAAACTGCCACTACCAACCCTGCGTCCCCGCCTCGCCCCTCCCCTGGACCCCTCCCTTAAGGGCTTCGCCCCAACACAACGTCATCACTCGTACCTCGCTCTTTCCGTTACCTGCTTGGTATGGGGACGCGAAGCGCTAGTACTCTGTGAGGAGGGCGCGAGATCGCTTGCTCAATGTCTTGGAACCCTCTTGGTGTTAAGACTTTGGTACGGTCGTGGGGCCCTCTCGGGTCGTCCTGGGGCCGTCTTGGGGGGTTGCGTCGTAGTGGGTCGATCTCGGGGCCCTCTTGGGCCCTCTTGGAGACCTCCTGTGGCTCTCTTGGGGCTCCCTTGGTAACCTTTTGGGGCTCTCAGGGGTCTCACTTGGGCCGTCTTGGAGCCCTCTTGGGACGTCTAGGAGCCGTCTTGGTGCCGTTTGTGGGGCCTCTCGTGCCGTCTTGGGGCGATCCTGTGGGCCTCTTAGGCTGTCGTGAACGCTCCGCGCGCTTCCGTCGTCCGCCGCCCCAATGTGGTCTTGCCACAGGCGTGCACGGCGTGCCAAAGGTCTGGCAGGTTTTTGGGTTCTTCTCTAACTCCCCGTGGAGCTTCGGCCCAGCCCCCCGGCCACACGGAAAGCTCTGGGCGGCGCGCCTCCCGTCTGCGTTTTCGCTCACGATGGCCTCCACCGAGAAGAGCACGATGGCTCCAAGACGGCCAAGGTGTGGCCACAAAAGAGCCCAAGATGACGCCAAGGTGGCCTCCAAGACGGTCTCAAGATGCCTCCAAGACCGCCAAGATGGTCCAAGGGAGCCCAAGACGGCCCAAGAAGCGCCCAAGAGGCCGCTAAGACGGCCCACGAGGCCTCCAAGACGTCCTCCAAAAAGGCCCGATGAGGCCAAAATGATTGATGTTTCGTAGGTTGTTGAATGAGATCGGCATTTGCTTCAGAACGGCCTCCCGACCGCCCATGACGGCCCAAAGGCCCCCAAGATGCCCCAGGGAGGCTCCCGTGAGGCCTCGAAAAGGCCCCCAGGAAGTTCCCATGAGGCACCAAGAATGACCCAAGAAGCTCCCAAGAGGTCTCCTCATCCTTCTCCTCATCCACCTTTTGCCTCCCTCTCCTCATCCTTATCTTCCTCCCCCACGTGTTCCCGAAGGGCTTCCACAACGGCCAGGGGAACGTATGGTCCAATAGGGTGGCCAAACTGTGCCCGAACGTCTGGCCACATAGGCATATCCTCAAAGGCAGGGGGCAGCGGTGATTCGCCGTAGGCAACTTCGATGAGATATGATGGTCAGCCCCTCGAGAGGCTCCCAGGAGACACAAGAGCCCTGAAACTGTTTCGAGGTCCCTTCAAGGGCCATTCACAGATGTGAGTGGCTGGAACGTGTCCACCGAAAGCAATGGAGTGACCAAGGGAACATCAGTTCTTCAGCCAAAGTGCCCTCCGCCTCGTCCCCCTCCTCCTGATCCTCCTCCTCCTCCTCCTCCTCCTCCTTGTCCACCTCTTCCTCACTCCATCCTCCGCCATCCACTTGCCCTACCCCTCCCCTCCTCATTCCTTTTCCTTATGAATAATGTCTCCCTTTCGCACCCCGAGGCCAGTTCTTAGGGCGGGCCAGGCGCCTGAGACTTCCTCATCATTTATCACCCCGATGCTTAAACATGTGCAACAGTTTCACAGATGGAGTGCAGGTCGTTTAAAAAATGCAGCTCTCGCCTTAGCGCAGCGCGCACTCGTTTAAAACTTTGCAAGAGCTTCACGGATTGAGGGCGGTTCCTTTTCAAAATGTGGCTCTCGCTTCAGCGCCGCGCACATTCGCTTGTTTTTTATGTGCAATGGTTTAACGGATTCCCATGATCAGCGTACCCGACATGGCGTTTTGGAAAGATTCAGGGTTATGATGGCGCAACAATTACGTTGATTCGCGGTGTTGAAGTCCAAGGAATGGCGACCCAGCACGACTCCGGATCGTCAAGACGCAATGATCAGGATAATCCGTGGCGTTGGAATCCCGGGAACAATGTTTTGGCATGCTTCAGGGTCTTCAAACGGTTGTCTTCCGACGAGGCAGTTCCCTCAGTGGAAGTGAACGGTTGTAGGAGCATATGAAGAGGGAGCTTAGAGGGAGGGTTTATTCTTTCTTTCGGACGCCTCATGCCACGTACTATGACAGGCCTACAACCACGAAGTACATCTAAATCAACCGAGCACGCTTGGCAGAGTTGGATGGGCAAATAAACTTGGTGAGGTGCGCGATGCAGTCGTCTAATGCGACTGTCTCGGCCGTGAAAGAAGACACAGGCGTGGCGAAAAATATTCCCCGGAAGGCGACTGGGAAGATATGACGAAAACCGTCCCTGATGACGACAGCTTCGGGAGGGTTTATTCCAACATCGTTGACGACCCTTGGGTTTACACTGGTCCTCCTCCTCCTCCTCACCCTCCCCCTCCTTCACTCATCCCCTCCACCCCGTCTCCTCCTCCTCCGCCTCATGCCCCTCCTCCTCCGCATTCCCCCCCCTTTTCGTCATCATTCTCTGCCTGTCTTCTGACTTATTATTACCCTCTCCTCCTCATCATCCCCCCTCCTCTCCACAGTCCTCCTCATCCCCTCGTCATCAGTTTTACCCTCTCCCTGCGCCTCCCCGGCCATCCTTCTCTCCCCACCCCTCCCAGCCCCCTCCTCCAACAAAGGTCACGAGCAAGACCACGATGGCAACGGCCACGACCATGATAACAACAACGACAGTGACGACGACGACGATGACGACGACGACGACGACGACGACGACGACGACGACAACGACGACACCGCCGACGACGACGACGATAATGACGATAATAACGATAACGACGACAACAACGATACCCACGATAACGACGACAACGACGACGACGACGACGACAACGACGATACCAACGATAACGACGACAAGGACGATAACCACGATAACGACGACAACAACGACGACAAAGACGACGACGACGACGACGGCGAGCACCATCCCTGCGTCCCACCGCGGGGTCTGCTTTCGGCACGTGGTCTAGGCAGAAGGGCGGGCAGAACTCTGGACAGGGCAACGCGTCGTCCAGCCTGCCGTGCTGATGCACCGCGAGGATCCTCCTCCTGCCCAGGTGTGGAGGAGGAAGTGAGACGGAGGAGGAGGAGGAGGAAGAGGAGGAGGAGAAGGAGGAGGAGCAGCAGCAGGAGGAGGACGCAGAGGGGCAGGAGGTGGGTGATAATTGCGAGAGGAGGAAGGGGAAGATGAGGAAGGGGAGGGGACGGCACGGCGGTGAGAGAGAGGGGGGGGAGGCTGAGGATCGGATGAGGAGAGAGAGGGGGGGGAAAGAAAAAAAAGAGTGGGAGAAGCTGCATGCCAGGGTTCCCCCCCCGCGGGAAGCGCCCAGCCAAATGCACCACCCTACTCACGAGGGGTCCCTGGGCGGCTATGGTGCCTCCCTGGGGATCTCCGAGGTGTCCGTGACGGCCCAGGAGGCCCCAAAGACGGTTCAAGAGGGCCCCGAGTCCCCGAAGCATCGCTCGAAGACGCCCAAGATGGCCTCAAGATGGCCCAAGAGATCTCCAACACGACCCAAGAGGCGCCCTAAAGCGCCCAAAGAGGAACCCACGAATGACCAAAGAGGGCCCCAACATAGCCTCCGCAGGCCAAGAGGTTCCTTCGAGGCTCCCCGAGGCCCCCAATCGGCCCAAACGAGGCATCCAAGAGGCCCCCAAGAGGCCCCATGTGGCCCCCCAAGAGGCCCCAGGAAACCCCCAAGACGCCCCTCAGAAGCCCCCAAGAGGCTCTCAGGAAGCCCCCAGGAGGCCCCAAAATGGCCTCAAGAGGCATCATTTTCTCCTCCTCCTCCTCCTCCTCCTTCTTCTCCTCTTCCTCCTCCTCCTCCTCCTCATCCTCCTTCTCCTCCCTCTCCGCCCCTCGCCACCGGCAGGCAGTCTGGTCCTCATAGGCTCGGACAGTGTCGGGAACACCTGCTTGCAGGCCCGCATGAAGGCTCGCACGTTCCCCTCGGTCGGGACCGTCACTGCCGGAGGGTTGTCCAAGAACCACGGCAGCGCCTCGCAGATCTGCGAGAGGTCGTCGCTCGGGTAGAGCCAGTTGCCGGCGTAGCCCAGCACCGCCACGAGGAGGAGGGACCCACGGCACAGGCTCTGGCGCAGATGCTTGGGAGGGCCGCCGCCGGCGGCGCCACCTGGCGACGAGGTCAAGGGGAAGGGAGGGGGGAGGCGGGGGAGGAGGAGAAGAAGGAGGAGAAGGAACAGGCGGAGGAGGAGGAGGAAAAATGAGGCGGAGAAGGAGGAGGAGGAGGAGGAGGAGGCGGGGGAGGGGGAGGGGGAGGGTAGTACTGCAGTCAACCGGGCCACCCTTCGCCGCCCCCAACCCGATTGGGTCTTCTACTCTAGCATTTCCCGATCAGGCGGCTGCCCAGGTAGTTTCGATTCGCTGTGTGAAATATTGTATTTAATCACCTTGGGGGTGTCCTCGTGAATCGGGCGCCTGTTCCGCGCCTCTTTGACGTGTGTGTGTGTGTGTGTGTGTGTTGCATTGTTTGTGCTGCTATGGTTTGCATGAAATATGCATTTCTGCGCGCAACATTCTGAACAAAAAACATACCGCTGAGATGCGCGAGGACATGCGATATTGTGTTATGCTATGCGGCACACAACCACGCTGTCCCACCATATGGTTCACCGAGCATGCCTACGCCATACCATGCCACAAAGTATTACCGCGAGCTGCGCTGCGCTACACAATGTCGTGGTACACCCCATGCCACGCAAAAAACGCCAAATCTTGCTGCGCAATACAACGATATGGCTGACCACGCTATTCTGCGCACTGGTACATGTTGCTAAGATTCGCAATATTCTACACAACAAGAAAACGCGTTGCAAGTATGTGTGACGACATTCGATGGCACGCAATATTGCCTAACGCCATGGTACACCATGCTTTAGGAAGCACGGCTCTGCAATACAATGACCAGGATGTGTACTGTTATATCGTGATAACCTGCAAAATTATTGCACGTGTCATAAACGTGTTGCGCAAATGCGCCACGTAAAACAAAGCTGCGCTGTCAAACACCAACCACGTGCCATGATTGCTACGTAATGCAATGCTACACCTTGCCATGCCTTCCAATGCTATGCTGTGTACTGCAATGTGCTAGTACGCTCTACAATACGATGCGACGTAACAGTAGGCAATGTAACCTGACATTACGCCACGCAACGCAAGAACATGCTGCGAGAAACAGCACTGCGAAATGCAATGCTACACAATTGGATGATATGCTGTGGAACGCGGTGCGGAATTTATGATATGTCTTGCAACGATGCGTTTTGTTACGCTGTCATGCGCCATGGAGCTTCATGCTACGATGTGCCACTCTATCCCAGACATGGCAATGCTGCCATGATATGGTATGCGAGACAGTGCTGTGCCATGCGTGGCTCTGCTATGCAAAACAGGGTTGTGCTATGAAATGCTGAACTGCGAAATGATAACAATGCTATGCCGCACCATACTGTACAATATGTACACGTTCAGAGACAGAATAATTAGGCATCAACACGATACCAAAACATTCAAGAACGATCCCCCAATACCTGCGTATTCCATGGCACGTTCGTTCCGTCATGCTCTGTCGTTCGTACAAGCTAAAGCAGTTCTCAAGGATACCAGATCTCGCGCGACAACGTTGCCAAAACCCTCCCCGAACAAGCATGCTGCGTGAGCCATGCCTGGACTACTCGAAGTAATGTACATGTACCCGTGCTCGAACGACTACCTTCAAATGCTCGCGGGTGGAAACCGACCGCGTACGTGTATATGTGATGTTGGGCTCTGACATTCCCGTAGGCACCGCCGCCGCCGCTGGCACTGCTGCGGGTGTCCATCGCAAAGTGCTCCCTCGCGCTGGGAAAATGAGAAACAAGCGCAAGCCGAAAAAGAAATGCTGCGTACGAGGATGAGGGCGCGGGCACGCGAGTCACGCCTTTGCGGGATTACGCCCATCGGGGCTGGATTCCATACGTCGGGGCCGAATCCAAAGGTGAAGCCCGGTCTGACGCCGTGGAACTGTCTCCTCCTCATCAGTCTCCTTCTCCTCCTCCTCCTCAACCTCCTCCTCCTCCTCCTCCGCCTCATCATGATCATCGTCATCGTCATCGTCATCATCATCATCATCATCATCATCATCATCATCATCATCATCATCATCATCATCATCATCATCATCATCATCACCATCAGCAGCATCATCGTCGTCATTATCAGCATCAGCATCACCATCACCATCGTCATCAGTATCATCGTCGTCTTTATCAGCATCAGCATCAGCATCAACATCAGCATCAGCATCATCACCACCATCACCATCACCACCACCATCACCATCACCATCACCACCACCATCATCATCATCACCATCAGCATCCTAAGCATCGTCATAAGCATCGTCAAATGCATCGTCATCATCACCACCAGCATCATCATCATGACCATCAGTATCATCATCATCATCATCATCATCATCATCATCATCATCATCATCATCATCATCATCATCATCATCATCATCATCATCATCATCTCGCCATCTGGTGAGAATGCTCGTCAACCACCATCCTCCTCCTCCTCCTCCTCCTCCTCCTCCTCCTCCTCCTCCTCCTCCTCCTCCTCCTCTTCCTCATATCCCTTCTTCCGACGGGCGACATCCTGCGTTCCAGGTGACCCCAGTACGCAGGGAAGCCCAGGCATCACCCACGACACACCTCGGCTGTTGCCAGATGTGACTCTGGCCCAAGGTGACCCCAGCTTTCTCGGGGACCTCCAGAGCACCCCAACACGAGGCCCGGAGAGCCCCAGAGACCCTAAGACGTCACAAAAAGCTGGGAGTACCTTGGCCCAGGACCACTTCTAACGAGGGCAGCTCTGCGACAACTCACGGGAGCCTCCAATACCATCTTGTTGGCTCTGGCGAATCGACGCTAGTCGACGCTAAATCGAAGCGAATCGACTTTAGTCGACGCTAATCAAAGCGAAGTCGGCGCTGTCTCGTCGACTGCCAGACGCTAATCGACGCTAGTGCACGCGAAGGTCGGAATTCCGAGGGTATAGTTACAAAGCTCCCGTGACGTGCCACCGAGCCAAAGACGCCCTCCCCTCCCACCTCGTCGCGAGACCAGATCGGGGCCGAGCGAGGGCCGGCCGCTCGACCTGGCCCAAGAAGGGGCGCAGGAGGGAGCAGGGCCTCGGGGACATCGTGGTACGCCCTCAACTTCAGCCTCGCCCTCACCTTCATCCTCGATCCTCTCGGCGGTGAGCCTGGGGGGGGAATGAAATGGGGCAGGCCTTCTCAGAAGGCTTGGAGGACCTCGGGCCTTCTGACAAATGTTCCAATCCTCCCGCGAAGACACAGAAAACTTCTGAGAAGTGAGAAGGCCTGCCGCCTTCTGAGAAGTGAGAAGACCTGCTCCTGCTCGCTTCCCCACGGACATCGTCACCTTCTCTCTCTCTCTCTCTCTCTCTCTCTCTCTCTCTCTCTTTATCAACTTTGTGAATGAACCCCTTGCCCTCGCCCTGGGTCCCACACTCACACCCGCCCTCACCCTCACCCATTCCATGATCATCGACCCCGCCCTTACCAGAGTGAACGAGACAAGAGACGAACCCAAACTTCAAATACCCGAGACGTACCCAAACTCTTCTCCACGCGAGGCCACTATTTATATTAAGGCCTGGATCTGCATGACATCATATTCTGCTGCACATCCCAGGAACCCACGAAAATGGCGACAACTACGCAGTTGGCAGCCTCCCAGGGAGCGGCGAGGTCTCGCGTGACTACCGCCTCCGCCTGACCTCCCACGAACTTGCGAAAAAGGCAACAATTGCGCAACTGGCAGCTTCCCTGGGAGTCGCGAGATCTTGCGTGACTACCGTTTCCGCGGGACCTCCCGGGAACCCGCGAAAGTGACGACGATTGTGCAGTTGGCAGCCTCCCAAAGAGCCGCGAGGTCTCGCGTGACTACCGCCTCCGCCTGACCTCCCACGAACTTGCGAAAAAGGCAACAATTGCGCAATTGGCAGCTTCCCTGGGAGTCGCGAGATCTTGCGTGACTACCGCTTCCGCGGGACCTCCCAGGAACCCGCGAAAGTGACGACGATTGTGCAGTTGGCAGCCTCCCAGGAAGCAGCGAAGTCTTGCGTGACTACCGCCTCCGCCGGACCTCCCCGGAGCCCACGAAAATGCACAATTGCACGATTAGCTGCTTCCCTGGGAGCCGCGAGGTATCACGTGACTACCGCTTCCGCGGGACCTCCCAGGAGCTCACGAAAGTGGTGACAATTGCGCACTTCGCAGCCTTCCAGTCGGGAGGAGGCAAGGAGTCAGGAGGCAGAAGGAAGGGAGAGAAGGAGGAGGTGGAGGAGGAGGACGCGGGGGAGGGGATCTTCGGAGACCACTGTACTCTATTCAAAGCGACAACCCAAAACAGGAGGGTTGAGAAAGACAGAAGACGACGACAAGGGGCAAGGAGGCTCACAGCAGAGCGAGCTGCAGACAATGCGGGGCAGCCAGGGACTCGCAGCAGAGAAACGACTGTGAGCAGGCCAGCGAGGGACACTGGCAGCGTCAAAGGGCAAGAACAGGGCCAGCATCGAGGAGAGTCGGGGACAGGGCCGAACCGACGGGCGGCAACAGACAGCAGCGACAGGCCGAGGACAACCGTGGGGAACAGGGCCGAAGGCAGGGAATTGGCGGCAGCGGACGGCAGCGCCAAAGCCCGGAACAGCCGAGGCAGGGTCAAGAGAACGGCGGCAACGGAAGGCGACAGTGGGATCGGGGACGCTCAGGGATACGGCCGACAGAGAGAAGGGAAGAGGGCGGCACTACACGGTGACACCAGGACAAGAGACACGGAGCGAACAAGACTGGCGGCAATCCAGGGCATCACAAGGGCAAGGGACACTCAGGGACAGGGCCGACCACTAGCAATAGGACGGACGGACGACGATACCAGCGCCAAAAACAATCACGAGCATGGCCGATCGAAATTCACAACGCTCGAGGTCCAGCTTGCTCGGAAAAGATTCTGGGCTAAATACAATAAGGGCCACTGGGCTGCTGCTGTCTCCCAAGACGAGCCCAGAGACGGAGAGGCAGAGGAGGGGGAAGACAGAGGAAGAAACAGGAAGCGGGCAAAAAAGACGGAAGAAAGAAAGAGAGGGAAGGACGAGCAGAGAACGTAGCCAAACGAAAGAAAGTGTCGGTGAACGGGGGGCGGGCAGCACCAGGGCCAGGAACACTCGGGAACAAAGCCGAACGGGCAAACAAACAACCTGGCGGTGGCGGAAGACGGCACCCGGACCAGAGACACTCGGACGGGGCCGCACGGGGGAAGCAGACAGCAACGGACGGCAACGCCAAAGCCAGGAACACCGGGGGGGCAGCAAGGGGAGAGACGTTATTGACGAAGGCGCTTAGACACAAGGCCGAACGGAGGAGGCCAACAGCAACGCAAAGCAAACACGAGGGCCAACGACAATCAGGGGCAGGACCCAACGAAAAACATTTGCAGCAAAACAAGCCGCCAATAAGGGCTATCATGTTCCAACCCAAAAAGATGTTCAATACAAACGATGTCTGGTGGAAATCCGATACACCCTCTGGGCGAAGGCGGTTCGAGGCGTTTCGCGTGGGGACGCCACTCTTCCCTTACAAAGAAAATCTTAGCACTGCTCCCTATTGATAAACATTCTTTCCCCATTCGACCAGCCGCCAACCAAAAACGACAACCAACCCCTAGCCCCAATAGCAGAACAAAGCGCACACGGCGGCATCAACATGAGCCATTAGCAGGCACTCCGCGACCTGGTTGCATGGGGACGGCGCGACTGTGTTCATATAGGTCGAATGCGTTTGCTATGCTGCCCTTGCCGAAAAGCATGCAATTCAACTGCGGGTGCCCGCGCCATACACGATGGTGACCACCCGCCGTATCCCAACAACGCTTACAAACGTGATGGGGTGGCGGAATGGCGCGATATTGCCCGTGCCGACACGTACACGCACGAAAACTGCGCGCGTTGCGCACGTGGCGCGGCTGGAGCACGAGGCACAACCGGCGCACCAGGCACGCCACGCTGCCATAGTAATTCGATATACCCCAAAAAACTCTCTGAAATGGCACAAGATCGCCCGCGATCCTTCAAAACAACTCGTAAAACCCGCCCAAGCGACACGCCACATTGCCCGCCCATACTCCATGGGGCTTCAACACGGCCCCGAAGAACTCAAACACAGACCCACGAAGACAGCCGCAAAAACTCCCCCAAACAACCGAAAAAATACGCCAACGAGCGAGTATTCCGGCAGAAACGACGGTGGCACACTTACCTGCTATATATATATATATATATATATATATATATATTATATATATATATATATATATATATATATTATATATATATAATATATATATATATATATATATATATATATATATTATATATATAATATATATATACTCATCATCCGGGGGGGCGCCCTGAGTCCGGGGCGCCCTGGAACACCTAAAATGACAAGGACGCCCAAATCTTTCGTGAAAGATGCCATACTCGCGCCCCCCAGGCTACAGTCTGTTTACAACGGGTGCCTAACGTGGACAAGTGCCGCGAGAAGACAACGAAAACGTGGCAGGGATGGGCGCGGGAAAGGAAACAAAGGCAACACGAAGAACACGAAATGGCCTACACCTGGCTCCGGGCATTGAAAATTTGATCTGGGAATGGTCTTTAGCATTGGTCCAGGCATTCGAAATCTGGTGGGAATGGTGTTCTGGGAACACGAATAAACCCCAATGGCTTACAATTGGCTCCAGATATCCCAAACGTGGCCTTATGGGAATGAATTCGTAATGATTCCCAAGATCTTGTTTCCTCTATCGGACCTC